TTGCATTTTATCATTGTTATACTCACATCAGATCTTTATGCGGTCATTGGAGAATCCAGTTCATGCAGTTAAGATTTCCAAAGTTTTATACAAAGTATCTCTGTCCTATTTGCACAATAGCAGGAACCACCCAAGTCTCATGACCAGTGCATATGCAACATGCACCAACAGCACAGCTTGTAGGCTGATTTTATTCATGCTTTATGTCACGAAACAACTGACTTTTAAAAGGAAATCACCAAGATTGTTAGGATCTGGTTAGCAGTTCCAGTTTCGTTTTGATGTTTCATGCTGAATATACTCTGAGGTCAGGTCTCTGCGTTGCTGAGAATGTGCATCCAAAAAAATTACACAAAGCATTCTATAAAATTTATATGCTCAAATTCTGCTTTTAATTGCACTCATAACTTTTTGCTGGGTTTATACCCCTTTAGAGAAGTATACAGCCTTGGCATTTGAACTTGCATTTGCTAGGACTGTTCTGCATTCATGAAACTATCAAGGTACATTTTCTTAGTTTTCATCAGACTAATTTTACAAGAATTCCTCTAGTGATTACCTAGCATTTGCAGCACATATTTTGTGTTTTCATATATATTGATATTATTACAAAACAAAACAAGAGGATAATCAAACACTCCAAAGAGGCTGTGGATCTCCGTCCTTATCTTACAAATATATCAAACTTGACAGGACAAAGCCTGAACATTTGGATTTAAGCTGGCACCACTTTGAGTGTGAGGTTGGACTCAGTGACTGACAGATCTTCTTTCCAACATAAAAGTTTCTGTTCTACTAAACAGCCTTATCAAGGGACGTATCTGTTCATTTTTCATCACTTTATTCTTTAATTTGTGATGACATCATGATTGGGAGACATAAAAGAGGATACAGTCTTGCTAGGTTTCTTGATGCATTGGTATTACAGGTCGGATACACATACTCTTTTGTCTCCAGTTAGCTCCTTATCACTTGGGAGAATTGTGCTCTACCTCCACACAAATAATGATTGTGGCTTTAGTCCTGTGAATCCTGTCTGGTTTGGAATGATGTGTGATGATTGCCTGCCTCACAGTTCCAGACTGAGTCAGACTGTGAAATCATGTCTACTGCTGCCTAGCGCAGAGCAATCCACCTTTTTTTCCTTAGTATACTTACTCTGTGTAGCCCTGTCACATAAAGTAACTCCAAGTTACTTTATAAAGTAACTCCATAAAGTCTCCCCTTTCCCCAGAAAAGCTCCAATGACCTCTTTGGCAGCTGTTAGAAGTCAAGGATTTGGATGACTGGACACTTGAAGAGGAGAGAAAAGCCCATAAGATTAGGGTTGAGATTGATCTATGATTTACAGTTAAAATCAAGTTAGGCCTTATGATGGCCTAATACTTTCAGTAAAAGCAAAAGGGAAAAGACGGCAGAAAACTGAGATCTGTGCTCTTTTTGTAAGTATGGGAGAGCGGGGGAATTGAATCTTCTTAAGGCTCTTCTTCCTGGTTGATGCTTGCCTGCCTACTGTTTCTCTTAACTCCATCTTCACCCTCCACCTGCTGCCAATTCTCAAAGGCCTTGTCTGGTTTGTGGCCTTCTACAAGACAAATAGCCTATTTAGGGAGAAGTATTTATGCAAACACACCTTTCAATTAATAACTTTTTTAAAAGGATTTATTAATGGTAAAAATGAAGAAATAAAGCAAAAAAAAATACAGGATGTGCAGGTCATGCAGATCCTTTGAGCATTCTGAGATAGTAAAGGCTCTGCCAGAGCCACTGTAAAAGACGGATATCCCAGCTCAAGTCATGGCGCTTCCCAGTAAATGTTGTTGCGGAATACCAGGGTCCTACCATGTGACACTCTCTGCATAAAGAAGCCTTGTTTTGTCGATTGCATTGTTTTGTTCCTTCTCTTTTAATTAGCCCTTATCTTGCCTACTCCCTCCACAACTTCCTCACTTGTTTATAGAGGAATCTCTACCTCCCCTGCATCCAAGTGTCTAGTTTCTCAGCAGTTACTATGACTTTTAAAAGGAAAGCAAAAGTGTTCCTTGTTCTCTTTCCACCTGACAGAAAAGGAACCCCAAAGTTGCTTCACAATCACCATCGCTGCCTTCTACTCATTCTAAGGCAATACAACAGGTTTTCTTTGTGGGTTCCCATTTTGGGATAGGGAGAAAGCTCAGTGCAATTGCCCAAGAGTCAGTGATCTGCCTTGGGCACGTCATGAACACAGCAGTATCTCACAGGTACTTGACTGGGATAATATTTGCAGGACTAGAGAAATATAGAGAGGAAGACTGGGAATTAGGGGGAAGATGCTGTAGAACTAGAAGTCTTACTGCTAACATCTGCAAAAGCAAGAATTCTAGTGTTAATATCTCTGCTACTTTGTTGGTTAGCCTATACTAATGATGCACCACTGGTACGTGTCCTTCAAGGATGTTAAGGCTACTTTTTTGGCCAAAGGGAAAAGGGACACACATCCTGCTGGTTCTGCTCCAGGAAAAGCCCTGGCATTCATATTCTACAAAATTAAGTGCCACATCACAAAACAGGCCACCAGACTGGTTCATAGTCACATTTTTCAAATGAATGAATCCTGAACTCAAATACCAATAAGCCAATTTAGACTGTGCATATGAGCCAGGCTTTTATGAGCACTTTTGGAAATCTGATAAAGCCTGGCCATTAGGAAGCAAAATGCAGCTTACTGAAGCTAAACCTGGTCTATCTTCCTGCTGGATGTTATTTTTCCAGATATCCAGAAACACTGAAGTAGCACACAAACATTTTTAACTGAAGGAAAAAATACTATTACACATATAGTGCTTAACTACATTTTTATGTTAGGATAGGAAGGATTTTCTCTTATCTAGTTCTCACAACATACATTTGTTGTACTTTCACTTAGGTATATATTCTCCCTCTGTCATGAGTGGAAAATAACTCAGCTGAAAGCTCTCATGGCATTGGAGGATAAACATGTGGGCCTGTCTCCCCGTATTCATAATAACAAAGCCGAGGGACTTGGCTTATCCTAGAAGCTTAATTTGGAAAGTTACTAAAATTAGATTAGACAAGATCTGGTTCATATTCCAGAGAAGTATAAAGTACAGCTTATTTAGAGAGGACAGCTCTTTTCACCTTATCTGTTATTCACCACACATGCTGCTTTTCTAGGGAAGGAGCAAAATTTCACACTTCCTATCAACCACTCAGGAACTCAACCACTGTTATTTTAGATGTTGGGGTTTAGCTACAGAATTTAAAGCTACATTTCTGTCCTCTCATTTCATTATCTTATTCATCTGATATACAGCATTTTCAACAGTAACTTACCCTTTCTCCTGCGGGGAAAAGAGAAATGCAACAGTTCTTTTTGTTTGGTGGAGTTTGATAAAGACATAAAATTCAGTTCCATGACACTATGTTCCATGTGAACATGGAACATGACACTGTCTTGCAGTTCCATGCATTAACAGTACTTCTTTGCAAAGGCTGATAATAACTAAAAGGAGCAGACTTCTACTTTATTATGCACACAGCTATTGCAATCTCAAAGAGAAAGTAGAAAATTAAGGGGTTAAGTTGTCTGGAAGGGAAATCACTTATGTGGTGATGTGATTCTATATTTGTGTGTTGAGGAGAGTCAGTGCTTTGTATACAAATGGCCCTGACATTTCCAAAACCATTTTTGCACTCTGTGGATAACTGAATATTGGCTATCACCTTCAGTGACACCCAGACTACGGCCTCAAAAAGTGTGTGGGGAAACAGGAGGGGGTGTTCAATGGCAAGAATTAGTATATCAATATGCAAGCTCTGCAATGAATTAGGGAAATTACTTTATAGTAATTGTTTTTCTTAACTGGGGTCTACCAACTCCACTATGGTTATATGATGCGTTTTTCTATCATACTATATATCCTACAGCTCGCTGAGATATAGTAAACACAACCTTACATTAGCTAGATTGAATAGTGCCAGCAGTGAAACCCTGGGCTGAGGACTGCGTTCACATTCTTAGGACTGCACAACAAACTTATTTAAACAGAAAAATAATAGCCAAACCCAATGAGATTCCAGTTCTCCGTCATCTCTTCTTTGTGGGAGCCATCAGCAGGATGACACAGGTGTAGACACTCTTCTACACTCAAATCTTGCATTTTTATTTTCCCAGAAAAAGTGCAGGAGTGCTTACTCTACGTACTTACAAGTCAAGGAGAGCAGGGAAAAACATAATAAAAACAAAACTTGTTTTATTAAAAAAAATATAATTCTGAATATCATTGTAATAAATAATTTTCACCTCTGTATGACCGCCCCAAAAAAGTTATGTGTCTAGCAAAATGTAACATAACAATAACTTAAGAAATGGGATCCAGGAGCATGTTTCCTATGCATTTCTGAAGTAATCACATATATCACATGTATTTCGTGTCCTAGAAGTAAGACGGTTTCTTTCTTCTATTCTCAAGATGAAGAAAAAAGCCTCCAAAACAAGAGCTCTTCTTTCTGAAGGTCTAAACAGTTGCATTATCCCCAAATTGTAAATCAGGAAAGTAATGAGCAGTAATCAAGTAGTGCCAGATATATTACAAGGAAATTTAATTACTAAAACACTTTTAAGAGGAAGAGATCAAAAAGCTCAGTATTATTTAATTTCTAAACCATAGTTGCCAAGAGGGTTACAGCACTTTTTTAGGCTTAGCGGTGAGTAATCTGTATTTTAAGGACAGAAAATGCCCTGTATGTATGGCATCTCGTCTCGTTGTACCGTTATCTTTTATGAGGATCACAGTAATGAAAAAATTCTTTAAAAGCTAGAAAACAAAATCTCTGCAGGAAATTGAGAGCTCAGGTGAGGAAGGAAAAAAAATATCCAGAAGATGACCTATCAAGAACTAGCTATGAAGTTCATAGCTAGACCTAAGTTGCTTTACCTTAAAGACATTTTCAATGAAACTCGTAAGGTAGAAACTTGGATATTTAAATAAATACCTCAATATCTAGTTCCATATACAGACACCTGAATGCAAGGACTTTTTATGTTATAATTATTTTAACTTCATTGCATTTTTCCCAAGTTACAACAATTAGAAGATCGCCATCACACAATAAAAACAAAAAATTAATATCCCCTTCAATAGATAGAACATAGAATATCTGAGCTGTCAAGTCTTCTCCACAGAGGAAAAAATTCTCCCCCTGCTTTCTCTGTCTAGGTCTTCTCAATTTGCATATCTGTAAAAGGAAGAATTACATAATATAATTATCAAATTACTGAATGATGAAGTCACAAAACAATTCATGGGTTTGGGCCTCTTTCCTAGAGTTTGGAGGTAACAAAAAAATGTCCTCCATTGTCTAAATTAAAGACCTAAATGAAATGAATTAAATGATCAAACAGAAGAAGAAGATGATCGTGGGAGGAAATGAAGTAGTGGGAAGTGCTCTTTAGTAAATATAGTGAAATTGCTATTGCTTAGGTTCCTCTTTCTTTTAAAAGCTTTTCAAATTCTTTCAAATGCATTCATGCCTTATCTCTTAATATCAGTAGCAGCATATTCCTGAGCCCTAACTCTTTGACTTGGAGATCTATACCTGCAGGACCTGCAGGCTTATCTGTAAGTTTACTGCAGCGAAGTAGCAGGGAAGGATTTGGGATGTAATTAATGCAAGTGCTTTAGAAATCAACAAGAACATAAAAGAAAAACCTCAGTAATTTCACCCATACCACTGTTCCATACCAAAGTATGTTTCAGAGATTTCAGAAATTTGGTCATACGTTTTCTTGCTTTGCCAAGACATAATCTCGCAGTTTGAGACTTGCTCAAGTGGCTGTGACAGGTTACTGTCTCCTTCCCCACTGTGTGTGAACAACTGTTTCTATAGCAAAAGCGTGAACTAGAAAAATAGACTGGTTTTGGCTATAACTCCATATCACATTTCCTTTGTATATCCTTTCTATTTTAAAAACCAGATTCATTATTTGATGTAACAAACAGTACACAATGAGTTATGACAGTGAGTTTGTAAGACAGAGAATGGGAGGTTGTATTTCTCTTGAAGGCTCTGTCTTTTGAAACAAGGGAGTAAATAAATCAGCCATGAATCAAGGCTCCAATGACCATGGATGATTTGTGCTGTGTATAATTTGCTATTTTTTCCCTTTGTTATTTATACTTACATTTCAGCTCTCTGTCTTCAAAAGAAGCATCTCTGCAGTCATGTGTATCCTTATCTTTTGACAGACCTTTAAGCAAACAACATACATACAGACAGTGAGCATAGCTTAAACTTTTCAAATAGTGATAAATTCCTTTGCCCAGGAATTGAGTGACTTAAATGCAGAGCAGGAGAACAGATTAACACCAAAATCTGTGTTCATTTGGGCAAGTATTCTCAGGAGAGGTTTTCTTAGGAAAAACCCAAAGTGCCAGTATGGATTAATTTTCACACAGCAGTCTAATTCGAGGTGGTCTCCACATAAAAGCATACAACAAATTAAAAATAAATCAACCAATAGCCATCATGAGAGACAACAAAATTATTTTAATCTCTTCTCTCCCACCGTAATCTCTTCGCTCTTTCCTTCATTTCTCGCTGTCACAGTGCTACCAGCCTTTCACTGAGCTTCACTCATAAATAGCACCAGTATCCCAACATGAGGGAAAAGAAACTGTTAGGGAAGCTAAAGCTTCTTCTGGTGTTTCTCTCAACAGGGCCAAACCCTCTGTCATGAATGTTGTGACAAAGACCTTCAAATGCACACTATAATAATGCAGAAAACACAGGACCATGCCAACATGGTTCCAACTGCAGACAGGGTTTGCACATCAGGATGTGACACCATCCTGAGGTATAAGTTCCAGGGAGCATGTCCCATCCTACTGCAGACTTTCCAACACAGAGCATACCATTCTGTCCTTTTCTTGTTCATATCAGGAATGCATCTGCTCCTGGAGTAAGTATGCTTTTCTTTCACATTTTCCTTTCAATAAGCTGACATAGTAATGACTGTAATTTATAAGTGTTACATAAATAGTAGAAAAGCAAAATCAAAGTTGAATTTAAATCTGCATTTGGTTGTCACCATTACAAAGTACATTCTCAAGCAATTATTTCCACAAGAATCACACTGAGACAGATTTATGCCATATGTACATACTTGTTATTGATGAACTCAAGACAGATGTTCTGTTGTCCTTATTTGCTCTAGCTGAAAGAAAATAAAAGAGAAAAAAATTCAATAAGAAAACAAAATACTTACTTTAGATCTAATGGAGGGCTTAAGCACACTGGTGGGAGGGGCACATTTAACACAGTGTAATCATTGTTTCTCAAAACACTAAATTTCTTCAAAGACTTTGAAATAAATTCTTTAGTGGCCCCAGTCTGTCCATTTCCTTTCCTAGTTCCTAAGCCAGAACTCCATTGATTCTATACATTTACATCACTGGAAAATACTTGTTCAAAACCTAGCAAGTGACACGAAGCCTGAGACGGAATATTCCCTCTCGTGAAAAAATCTTTCATACTTAACACCTTGGACATATAGCTTCCTATGCAGTCCACAGTTTTTACAGTATTTTGGCCAGAATAAAGGCATATGCAGAATTCCTAACAATTGGATCACTTGAAAAAATACTCACAGTTCAATGACATTTTTCAGAGAATGCAGGGGAAAAAAACCCTAAAAAACCTCCAGTGCCCTGCTTGCTAACAGCATTCTGATCCCCAGTCAAGAGGGGGGACCCAGAATAGGAAAGTTCCGTTTTCAGTGGGTGAATAAACTGCACTTCAAAGTTTGAATAGATTAGACATTAAACTTACTGCTCTACATCATCTATAAGAAAAATTAACAGGACAAGTGGTTTGTGAAGAGCTGATAGCCTGTTCCATTCTGTTAACTTGCTAGTATTTAACTAAGTCCAATAAAAAAAGAGAAATAGTTTATGTGGTAAAAAATTTAGTGATTTCTGGACAAAAGATCTAAGGCAGACTTTTATTCTCTCATTCCACCTCAGTGAGGATGAATTAACAGAACAGATTGATAATAGCTGAGATGTTCTAAAATAAATAATTTGAATACCTTTTCTTATGCAGAACATAAATAGAAGCCCTGATCCAACAAAAGTGGTAGTAATGAGAGTTGCTCCAACAAAGCGTCTGCTCTCGGTCCACAGAATGCCATCAGGTGCATCTTCAAGAAAAAGAAGTGGGGGATAAGACATTACATAATTGCATGAGCTCCTCCCTTTTGCTTTCATTTTCACCATACTAATTTTGCTATGAGCAATTCAGATATGATAACAGCATTATAGATTGTGTCTATGGTCAGGTGCTCATGACACACTTAACCACACTTTTGTTCAAATAAAGGAAAAAAAAGATGGAACATATTAATATTTATCTTTGTTCCCTGCATTCCATGTGATAGTGCCTTTGATTCTCATCACACATCTTGCTTGTCAGCAAGGATCTGTTATATCTAGTTTAGTTTCCCATCAAGACTAAAGGAAAAAGCTAATTGAGAAAGAGAACAGAAAGTCTCTTTCATCTGGTAAGGCTCTGAATGCAAAGGATAAGTGGTCTCCTTGAATCCCAAAGGCTTTTCTTGTTAAAAACAAACTTGCCCATTGAAAGGATGACTTGGCTTTCTCACTCTTGCCTGCCTGTTTTCAACTCTTGTCAGGCCCAAAAAGCATGCCAGCATAGGTGTTATTAAAACTAGGTTATGAACAGAACCAGGGGAACGACCTGACAGTAACAGTCTGAAAAACAGAAATATTGTTGTTTGAGTCTCCAATCTGGTTGAAAGCATATCAGGCTACAATGCAGAGAAGAATAATCAAAAGCAAAAGCAGTAGGGATGCAGCCCAGGTAAAAGGTCTAATGAGAAACTGTATAGGTCTTGTCCATTCATGCATTTTCCTTCAATACAGACTTTATGAGGAAAAAAAAATCTGTGTACTGTTAGTTACATTTAAATATGCTCAAAGCAAAGGCTGTAATGGCAAGAAAAGATCATATTGTTCTAATTTATTTGACAGTAATCATCAGCAAAATAGAATATTCTTGGAAGATGAGTTTAATTTATATGAGAGAGTTTTATTTCCAGTCTCTGAGCTATATGTCTCTCAAATAATGAAACTTTTTTAACATTTAGACTGGATTTTCATATAACTGCAGGTCATGCAAAATTCCTGTCCTTGAATTCTGACCACACATTCATGATGAACATGTCAGCATGATGGAAGTGTATATTAATAGCAAAACAACACAGGTATTTCTTTTTAGACTTTTCAAAATTAGATAGGAAAGAAAAACAAATTATGGTTGATTCAACTGGGACAAAATTACATAGCACCTTGAAGTGTATTACTATTAATGAAATTTAGAAATGTTACCTGCTATGTGTAAAATGGCAGATGTATTTTCTTGCAGCTCTTTATTCCAGAATATACAGTAAAATATCTCATCAATTCTGCTTTTGATTGTAAGGGTACTTGTCACATGATACAACTGGTCCCTTCCAGTTTGATAACTTGTGTTTGCCTTATCAGTCAAATCTTCATAGTCTCCATTTTGCCATATCACTTCAGCTTCTGGGTATCCTTCAGACTGGCATGTCAACTTCCATTCATTGTGTCCTGTGCTCACCACTCTTTGGGTTATAGTTCTGTAAGGAGCTAAACAGATGGAAGAAAATGATTACTAGAAGGAAGCTAGAAGAACAGCATATATTAAATGCAAGACACCTTTCTGTATCCCCAACCCTCAGGGTCAAGTTTCAGCTTGGATTTTGCAAATAATACCCTTGACACGAAAAGTAAATATCATTACTGTGTCTGTAACTGGAGGTACAGGATTTATTACAATTTTGATGCTGTTTAGAAAAGTGCACTAGATTTATGGTCTTTGTACTGTCTAAACGGTTTTGAAACACCATTCCTCATTGGGGAAATAAAGGACAGAGCATGGATTCAACCTAAACAGAAACACTAAATTATACAGCTGCATAAGCACTATCAGGCAACTCCTGTCTCTGGAGAGGGTTCTTTAACTACTAATCTGGATGTGTCTTACTTCAGGGTCTCCTCTGAAATCTTTTAGCAGTATCAGAGAGTATTGAACATCTGGTAGTAGTACACTCACCCTTAACTTTCAGGTGGATTGTCTTGTAATCAGCTCCCCTATAGCCAATAATACAGTGGTAGGTCCCTGCATCTCTGAGTTTCACATCAGTGATCTGAAGGAGAGACTGTCCCAAGTTCAGATTCTCTTTCAGCAATTTTATTCTTCCCTTAAAGTCACTGTGCTGACCTTTCAAGTCTTCCTTTCCTCTGACAAGTACATAAACCAGCTTCTTTAACTCATCTTTTTTTTCCCAGCTGACATTTAAATCTCCAAACTTTAATTTCCCATTCACTGGAAATGTGCATTCCATGGTCACATTGTTCCCATGTTCCACAATGTAGAGTGACTGAGGAGCTTCAACAGTGAATAAAGCTGAAAAATAAAATTTGGAAGAAAACTTAATTTTTCAATAATAAGCCTAATCTTTGAAGTCATGTCTTACCATATCCATAGGAAATTTTAAGGACCAAAGTATCTGCTCTGTTCTGAAAAGTTAAACATTTTGGCATGCACTTGTATAAGTCTGGGACAAATTGGGCTACTTATACCTTCAGACACCTGCTTTGTGCACAAACACAGTGTGATGCTTTACTAAAAATAGTTGACTGTGTGTACAGAGTCCCTCAGCTGTTGCTTTCAGAACATTGCCATTGTTACAGGCAACCGTTAGTGCCTAGAAATGTTATACACAAATGTTTTTGGTTTTACACACAATGCTGAAGAATACACAACAATTCCCAGGTTTTACGGTGCCAATAATACCTTTTGTATAATGCAAAAGGTGCCTTGTCTGAAATGGTGTCTATGCTGGATCACTGACAGAGATTTCAACCTGGCCCCATATGAAAATCCGTATATCTAGTTTAATGTAAAAGCATGCTGAGATCTTTTTATTTAAAACATTAAGGAAAAAAAGCCAAATGCTGAAGGAACACTGAGGGATTAACATTTCTGTGCTTATACATGGAAGGAAAACACAGTCAAACAGTTCTACAACTTGGCTTCTTACCATTGAGGAAATTCCAGTAGAATAAAAATATATACAAAAGTAAAGGCCGTTCCATGATGTAGATGGAACCTAAAATCAGAAAATAATAGGCACAGACAAATATAAATACCTACTCATTTTCTAACTTGTGCTGTAAAATACACTTGATAGTCAGTCCACACAAAGAACTGGGCAGAAGGCACTGAATTCCACTCTAGTTGAAAACAGGACAAAATTGCACCCAGTAGGTAATCAGGCAGAAAGCTTCCTGCTGCATGGGTCCAAAACCCATGGGAAAACCAACTTATTTTATTTGTTTTAAACATCTGTCCTTCAATATGGCAAAACATATGTTTCATCACTACCTGTCAAATAGTAAATACGTACTCATAAATACCCAATTTTTTCCCTAACTGTAGCAGGGAGTGTTGTTCCTAGTAGGAGGAGAATGAAGGAATTTTCTATATGCATTCAGTGGAGAAAATAGAACTTGGTTCTTTCCCACCTCTTTGCCTTATTTTAACATACTGTGAACACACCCTCCTTTCTACCCTGGTCTCACATTAGGCTTGCAAAATTACATATACTGTGAAAATAATTCATGCAGTAGTTAATAACATGTATTTACACAATAGTGCCTTTGTAAAACAGTGACAAAAAGAGTCAGCCTACAAGCAGAATCTATTTTATTGAATTTCTGCTGCTTTACCTCTGAACATGTAAATTATTTCAATTTTCTGTCAGAAGTTTTCCCCCTCTTTACTGACATAGGTTTTATACACCTATACAACGCTTTCACATTATAAAATGTTTATTAATGTCAATTCATACACTTAACCTTCGCACACCCACTGATTTTGATAAGTGTGTATTTTAAGTCAGAACAATACCAGTATCCAGCACTGCCATAATTCTACATATTACTGCCAAGAAAAATTCAAACTCACTGTAATGGAAATCTTTCATGAATATGGAAAACTGTAGGATTTTATCTAAATAAAGTCCTAATTTTGGATACCCAGACAGCTACAAAAATAAGGAAAGATTGGCTTCAACTGTTTTCTAGTGGTAGTTTCAGAATTTGCATAAGAAATTAGACAACTGCATGCTCATCACATTTCCTAACCAATGAAATTCTATCTGCACCACGACTCTTAGCCATAACCATTTTTGATAAGATAGTTGATCTTCTTTCTCTGATTGTCAGCTTTAAGATGATTATAAGGTGACAATATTGTCCTAAATCATAAGACACCTGTGCCTTTACAGTGTTGTAGCTTAAGGGAATTAGAGTCCTCATAAGAATTTGATTCAAGCTACTTCTTCTCCTCTCATTGCTGCTGTCTGATCCCAATAGCTAGTTTGCAGAAGGCAAAATATAAGGAGCTGAGGAAGGGACTCTACCTAACACATTGTTAGGCAGATATGAGCAATTACAAAAGCATGTAATAAAGCAAAAATACAAAGATTCTCAGGGTGAAAGATCCAATTCATCAATAAATTTTAGGCTTTGTAGTGTGGTTAGCTACCAAATTCATTCCTAAGCCGTTAGTGATGTCCTTGAAAGCACTAGCAAACTGCTCCCTAATTCTATGGGTTCCCAAGAGTTTCTGGGAGTTTACACTGGAGTTTACACAAGAGCTTACACTGGAATTCCTCCGTCATGATGCCACTGCATGAGTCACAAGCACTCCAGACCACCAACTAAGCTCCAAAGTAAAGCTTCTCATACAAGACAGAGGCATACTGATCTTACAGGTGTGCCATGGTCACACTTACTCTGGACACAAGCCTGCAGAAGACTAAGTCACCGGTATTGGGTATTGGTGTGCATTCCACATGTTGGAATGACCAAAGCTGTAGCACACTCAGACCCAAAATACTTTCTACTTTTTTTTTTCTTCTTTTTTAGGTAGAGGCTGTAGATTGCAAAGAACAAAGTAGACTTCTCAAAACAGTAGACTGCTTGTAACAAACATCATGTGCACTACATTCATGATACCTACACCCACGCATGCAACCTAAATCCACCTTTTTGTCAGGAAATCTGAATGCTAGCATGAACTTCAGGAGAGGTGTTTTGATTAACTCATGGAAGACATATGACAGGTTAGCTTTTATGGTTCTAAGACCCATGTTTATGTCTTGCAATTGCTGAAATTTAATTATTGTGCTTTCTTTCACTGTAGAGAAAAACAAGCCTTACAAGACAAAAAAGAAGTATGACTATTACTTACAAATTTCCTCAAGACTGAGAAAGTCTGCTGCTGTACTCAATTTTTCCCTTTCAGAGAGAAAAAAAGTAGGTCCAGGTAAAATCCAGATGCGCGTGAAAAAATCCTCACTGCAATAACCATTACAAAACCTTCTACAGAACAATGCTGAGGCAGAAGGATCCTCTGACTGGATGGGTTGAAGCAGTTTGAAACCTTGATGCCAATCAAAGCTCTCTGCCAAAGCTATCAGCTTGCTATTTTTCTTACAGAACCTACCACAATTCCCTTTTCCTCCTGGAGCTTCCAACAACTATGGCAAATAGTTTGATAAAAGCAAAATGTATTCCCTGTGCAAAATGCTCTTCAGTATTGCTGCTGTATGTTTCCTTCACAATCAAGTAAAGAAGACAGGAAAAACAGAACTACTAGTCAGAAGACTTCATGTGAGAGAACTTAAATGTTGATGTAACTCCACCTACTTCTTTAAGAAACTTCCCCATTATTGGAAAATTCCCCATAAGGGAAAATTCTATATTGCTAACAGTGACTCTCTGTAACCAGAGACAGTAATGTTAGGAAAATTAGTACCTAAAATACAGTATTAATCTCAAGCAGTGGCAAACAGCTGCTAACAATGACTAGAAATTTCTACAGAACTTACTCATGTCTTTAAAGGTCACAGGGATAAGAATAACGTAGGACGAACAGGAAGATTGGGAAGAGCGTTTGCCTACTCTCCTCTGGTGAGGACAGATACTCTCTCTCCAGGATTTGAGCACAGTGAAGGTCCCTTGCCTTGCTACTGTGTAGTGAAAGGAAAGTTGTTAAGCCTATGTACCAGCTTAGCAAAAAGCAGGGAGCACTGTCTTTTTAATTATCTTGGTTCTAGAAGTCATTTGAGAATATACAAAAAATCCCAGGTATCAGAAGCCAAAGGAGGTACTCACATTACCTTGTGGACTGCAGTGGGAGAACCAGGTGCACAAAATACAACTTCAAACTTATGCTTCAGTGTAAGCTCACCCACTTAGATTCTCCTCGCATATCTCAAAAAAGGGTTGAGGTTCTCAGAAGAGTTAAAATACTGTGAAATGACCGCTTAAAAGTGTTTTCTTCTTTATACTTGACAGCCCACTCACTGTATCTGTCATGGAAGCAAAAACACGTAATACACAAAACTGGTTAGAGTTAACCTTTTTAATTGATGTGTGAGATGAACATGGAAACAGTGGTATATAAAACAGCTCAATGTAACATTTAGGTTCTCACAACCTGAAACTACCTTAGGAGGTTGAGGGGGTGGATTTCCGCAATAGGTGAGACCGATGAATATTAATTTCCACTGATTTTTTTGTGTGTGTGTGTGCTTAAAAATAGGCTTAATGACATTGTCTCAGAAAAAAAACATGCAACAAAGAGACAAGGAAACACATTTGTAAAATACTGTGAGACCACAGAAGCCACTAATGTAGCTACCTTTCAATGTTGGGAATTTAGTTTCTGCTTTTTCTTTACTTACCTTGAGGTCATGGGGTTGCTTTTTCCATTTAAGTGTTTAGCAGTAAATAAAAGACCGGGGCAGATGGAGTTTTGTTCGGTTATTTTTGTTTGTTTAATTTTGCTTCATACGCACACACTCATATACATACACACATACATCTACATGCACACAAACATATTTTACAGCACCGTTCTGTACAGCAGCTGGTGAGGTTTGTTTGGTTTGTTATTTTTTTACCTGTTCTGCAAAAAGTTTCCCAGAGAGCTACCTCAGTCCTGCCTGTCACCGGGCATTCCCAAGCAAAGCAAGGGCTTTCGGGGAGAACGTGAGGGGGAAGGATCCGGCGGCCTTGGACGCCTCACGGGGGGATGCGCTCCGTACAGCACCGGGACAGGGCTCCCACTACCGACAGCCCTGCGATTCCCGGAGCTGCGGGCCGGCTTCTCGCTGCCTTGCGGCTCCTCCTATGTGGCGGCTCCCTCGGCCCACCCTCCGGTGGGTCACACCCCGGCCCCGAGCCGGTTCTTCCCTGGCTGCCCCCGCTGCGAGTTCACCGCCGGCTGCGGCCCTTTGCGGAAAGCCGCCCCGAAAAACCCCGGCGCTGTGTTCCTAAACCTCGCTTCAGCCGGGGCGGGACACGGAGTGCGGGCGAATTGTCCATTCTTGAGAGACGGGGATTGTAGAAAACAAAACCAAAAGCAGCACTGACACCGTCTCCCAGCTTGTTCCTTTCTCTTCACTTATCAGGAAGAGACGTACTGGGAGCGAGCCGCATGGCTCATCGGTCAGGCACCTGGCTGCGTGCTTTCGGTTTTTCTTTCTTTCTTTTTAGCATGGTGAAATCATATTGTTCACTTCCCAAATGGATGGCTTGCTACTTAGGTGGCGGATGACTGTGTCAAAGGATGGGAATGTGGCTGATGATAGAGCATCCGGGATACCTGTAAAGTCTGGGAGCTATGTCCTGCTTCTCCAGGACAAAGAAGCAATTCAACTTTATTTAAATAGCTCTGTTCCTGTCCACTTAAAGATCCTGCTGGGGGATAAAACTCCAGTTTAATAACCTGATAATACAATCTGGGAATATAGTGTGGTATAGGATTTCTTTTATGAGATAATACTTCTTATGTTATAATTCTAATAAGGTCTCTGCCATAACTTTTCCAAAAGAAAGCAACCCTGAAATAAGAATGTTGCTCAGGACATTACCAAAGAACCAAGGAGCCATTGTGAGAAGTTTACTCGTGCGTATATTTACAGGGTGGAATATAAAGCAAATACAAATTTGTAATGCATGGCAGCATGCAAGAGGCAGAGGTGTGTACTGAAAGAGGGGAAGGACGTCCAAACCCTTACGCT